TCCCTCTCCCTGCAAACCTACGACGAGTTTTGCAAAGCTTTGCACACACATCCCACCCCATGCCTCCCTCTCTTCCCCCTGACTTTCTAAAAATGTGACTGGAGAATAAAGGTGTAGGTCAATTTAACAGCCCTCATGGAAAGTTCCTTTAATATTTTAGGAAGATGTTAGTCATTTTTGTTCTGAGAGCCGGGCGGGCTCACCCCTGATGCCTGCAGGTCCCATTTGGGACTGATGTTTATTTCATTATTCACAGCCTCTCCCCATCGCACCCAATCCTGCTCAAAAGCTCCCTACATCCTGGTTTTTCTTCTGAGGGATCTAGTCACTGCAAACCTATGTTTAGCTCTCTTTATGTTCCCCCATTAGGATGGGAGGGGGGGAGTTGAAAATTTGCCCATCCCCATTTTTATTCCTGAAAGAGAATTTCACTCAACATTAGCCAAGCCAATCTTGTTAATGGCTAAACCTTAAACGATACAGGTTGAATTTGTGACAGTTGGTTCTCTTCCAATCAGTACCAATAAGACCAGCTCCTTGCCCTTTGAGGACTCTTGTCAAGACTGGACTCTTGTCCCCCCTGGCAAGGCCCCGGCTCTTGTTTCATCCGTTTACCAAGCTGTTTACCAAGTCCTGCCGCCTGGGCAGCCCCTTCACCAGGGTGGACAAACAACCCGTGGCTCTCTCTTTCACCACACCCCAGATGCAACTCAGTTTTTGCCCTTTCTTTTGTATTAATTATGTTTAAATTATTATAAATCCTCTTTTAGTATTTTTAATCATTTTAATTTAGTAGATTAAAAATAATTCATGCACATGATTTAAAAAATGCAAAGCATTCAAAGGAATTCACAGAAGAAAGTTAGTCTTCCCTCCAACTGCAGACCCTCCGTCTCCAGAGACAACCACTGTTGTCTTCCAGACAGTCGTTGTACCTCCCTGGCTTTGTCACACCTGGTGTGGCAAGCATGATCATGTGACCTGGCCCATCTGCAACTCTCCCATCGTCTCCTTGCCTGCTCCCTGTGGGCCACGCTGGCCTCCAGATATTCTCTCAGGCAAGCTTGGCAAGTCCTCGACTGGGGCTTTTGCACCTGCTGTTTCTTCTTGGTGCCCTCTCCTACCAGATGCCTGCACACTTTGTTCTCTCCTCCATCCTTGCCTCTGTTCAAATATCACTTCATGCAGAGACCTCTGATCATCTCCCCAAAACAGCAGCCCCGTCATTCTCTGCCCTGAGCCTGCGTTAGTTTTCTTCAGAGTCTTTATCAACAGCTAGCATTACAGAGCTATGCTTTAAGTTGGTTTATCATCTGTTTCCTTCACTAAAATATAAGTTTCACGAGAGCAAGGATTTTATCTGTCCTCCTTACTATTAAATCCCCAGCATCTGGAACTGTGCCAGCCTGGTATACAGAGTAGGTACTCGAAAAATGTCTGTTGAATGAAATGAGTAAGTAAATGACCCTGTGTTTTGCTTTGTGTTTGAAAATATCAAGCCGCAATAAGATATATTTCTTGTTGATTGAGATTGGCAAACAATTTAACAAATTGAAAACGTCCACTGTTGGCAAGGCTGCAGGAAAAAGAGTTGTCTTGTCTCTCTGGAGAACAATTTGGCAACATGTGACAAAATTTTAAATAAGAATTTTTCACTCAGTAACACCACTTCTATGATTTCTTTTTCCCCCGAAGGATATAAATAGACAAAAATAAACATATATATGTTCAAAATCTCTTTACCGTTATTTATAAGAGCAAAGTGTTAAGAAACAAGTCTAAATGTCCATCAATAGGAAACTGGTTTAAGAAATCACCATATATGTAAGAAAATACTCTGCAAAAATAATGTCTCTCTATATTTGTCACCATGGAAAGATGGTCACATTGTTGAATTAACACTGTTCCAAAACAGCAATACATACATTGAGGAGCAAAAATGAGGAGAAAGGGAGAGAGAATTTAAGAAAGAAGTCTAGGGATAAGAGGATGAGACAGAAAAAGACAGACAAACAGAACTGTAAGGACGTCTCCTGAAATATTAAGAACAAATATGCCTAGGGTGTGAGATTTCAGGTGATTTGTATTTTCTCCTTGACACTTTTCTAGATTGATTTAATTTTTGCAATAAAAATGTATTTAGACTTAGAAAAACAAAACACAACAAAAGCACTATGCAAAGAGTAAAAGAATCAAGGAAATACACACACGTTAATTATGGTTGTCTTTGGTTTTTTAGAATAGGAACCAAGGGTTCCTCTCTATTTTCCTCCATTTTCCAAGTTGTCTTTTATTGAATATGGTTACTTTTAAAATGAGGAAATACTCACATCTAACGATGATGATGGTAATCCAACAGACTCACAAGGCCCACAGCCTTTACTCCTGGTTCCTGGGAAAGACTCCTCTGTGGTTTGAGGGTCAGAGGCTGCCATTATTCATAACTTACCCACTCAGAGGGGAGGCTCGTTTGCCCTGCATCTTAGATCTCAAGGTCCCTTTAGATCTCTTAAGAGTCCCCTAACCACTGACACTTCCACATCAGCTGGTTTATGTTGGCTTCTCTAGTGGTCAACATTTATGCCCACATTTTTTGCACCTTTTGGCCTAATTTTTTTTCATTAAAAGACTAATGTACTTTTAAAGGATAAAAATTTAAAAGTTAAAGTATAAAGAAGGAGAGAAAATGGGGAAAAGCAAGATGGTGGAGTAGAAGGACGCTTGTAGCTCACCCTCTCCCAAAAATACACCAAGACCCACATCTACAGACCCACTCAGCCAACCAGAGCATCTGCCGAACTCCGACAGAACATTGCCCTCTTTGAAAGACAAAGACGCCAAAAATCTGGTAGGAGAAAAGGAAAAAAGAAGAAGAAAAAGCAAAACAGTGTGGGACCAGTCCCACGGGGAGGGAGCGGCAAAGGAGGACTGGCGCTTGTTTGCTGGGGCTCCCCTCTCCAACGGAGAGGCCAGCGTGATGGAGGGGGAGCCTCTGAGGCTCAGATCTGCCCCAAGCACCCCTTGACCGACAGAACTGAGTTAAACAGGCACAAAGGGTCCCCATGACACCCAGCCTGAGACATGAGCTGGCAGCTGGGGCTGGGACAGGCTGCCCGAGCTGGGCAGAGAACTAGAGCGGCTGCACTGAGGCAGCCCTGGGGGACTACAGGGGGCTGCGCACCGTGGCTGGGAGGGAATACAGAGCAGAACAACCTTGGTCCCCCATAAATTGTGAAAAAAGCAAAGCAACACAGCTGGTGTGCCCTGGGGGGCACCATAGCCTTTGTCTCCTCAGACCTGTGCCACCATTACTGGCGCTTCTCAGAGTGAGAAGAGAGGCGGGGTGCAGCCACAGCTGCCATCTCCTCCTGTGTGCAGTACCCGGGCAGGGGTGGGACCGAGGACTGAATCCACGCCCGCGGGGCTCCACAACCTCCTAGGCAGGACTGAGACTTGTTTACAGCCCGAGACAGACAGGATCTTTCTGCCCTGGCACCTCAGAGAACTCGTGCCACCAAGACAAATAAGGAACTGAGATTTGGCACGCAGCAGGGGCGGGCCGTTCCGCGGTCTTCCCTGAGCCCCCCTTCAGAGCGCCAACCCAAGGTGGAGTGGGCAGCTGCACAGAGCAGCTGAGCAACAAGCGCCAGGAGAGGGTGGGCAGCCACCCACCTTCCTGGCAGAAATGCAGCACCTGATCATGGTGCTGGGAGGAGGCGCGATCCGCCCACCTGCCTCTCCCGAGTGCAGCATCTGACTGCGGCATCAGGAGGGGGAGTGACCCGCCCGCCCAGAAGGTAAGAGTTCAGCACCTGACCCAGTGTTGGGAGGAGGCACGATCTACTAGCCAACAGCCACTGGGAGCAGCACAGAAGAGGGCGCCAACAGAGGGCCTCTGGAAACAGTAAGCTGAGTTCGCGAAACAGGGCAAAGACACAAAGACCTCTTGATAAAATCATTAAGAGCACACCATCTCCAGGAGAACCAGATAACTGATACTCCTTAAGCCACAATGCCAGAGAGATATGAGCAATATGAAGAAGCAGAGGAACCACTCTCGATTAAAAGATCAAGAGAAATCCCCTGAAAGCATGAT